CCTGCTAAACCATCTCTTTCAGAAGAGACTCTTGGGTTTGGGGCTAAGGGGGCTGATCAGGTGAAGAGAAAAGCTGCAGGATGCCATGTCATCCTTGGTCTTTGTTTTCCCATCCATGAAATGGGCTTGGTCCTTTAGTGACTGACAGTCAAGTGTCTTGCAGAGGTTGTTACAGCAAAAGAATGGCCTGATTATAACTCCATAAGAAACAGAACCATTCCACTAGAAAAATGGGTCGTGACTATAAACAGACATTTTGCAAATAAGAAATACTAGTAGCCATCAAAGTAATAACCTATATGGGAAAAGAATCTGAAAAAGAATGGGTATGTATATGTATAACTGAATCACTTTGCTGTACACCTGAAACTAACATAACAGTGTAAATCAACTATGCTCCAATAGAAAATAAAAATTAAATTTTAAAAACTTAAAAATAAGTAAGCGTTAAATATTCCCATTCAGTGATTAATTCAAGGTATGCAGATTAAAAGAAGGAAATTCCTTTAGAAATTTAAAATAAGTTATTGTTATTAACCCTCTTCCGCTGTCTGAGGGCAGTATGATGCTAAGGAGAAAATGGGCAGAAACCCAGAGACATTGACAACAGGATACAGAGAAGACTCAAGGGCCTGTTCTTCATGCCCAGCAGTGGTGATGGGAGCAGCAAGGAAATGAGTACATGCTACCCAGTGTCTTCCTGAAGTTCCTGGTCCAGGGCATCGAGGAGCTGGAAGTAACAGTGTTGCTGATGTGCAACAGATCTTACCGTGCTGAGAGTGTTCAGTGTTTCCTCCAACCACTACAAAGCTGTCCTGGAAGGGAAAGCCAGCTGGCCGTCAGAGTCACCCATCCCAGCATGAGGCTGTGCAGCAAAGAAAGTGAAGAGACAGCTCACGTGCACATTTTATTCATGTTAAATAAAACCATAAAGACTGTGCCGTCAATAGAGAAAATTAATAAAATAGCTCATGCACTTCCGGGGTAGAAATTGATACAACTTTTTTGGAGGCTACATAGCAATATTATCAAAAGTCTTAAATCTTTTTCAGTATCTTTGACTCAGTCCATTAGTTGTCTATTTGCTGCTGTAACAAATGATCACAAACGTCGTGTTTATAACAGTACAAAGGCATTATCTTACCTTTGCGGAGAACAGAAGTCCTGGGCTAAGATCAAGATTCTGCAGGGCTGCATTTCTTTCTGGAGGCTCTAGGGAAGAATCTGTTTTCTTGCCTTTTCCAACGTCTAGAGGCCACACACATTCCTTAGTTCATGGCTGCTTTCCTCCACTTTCAAAGACAGCACTGCCCAGTCAAGTCTCTTATATTGCATTACTCCAGCACTGACTTTCCCATCTCTCTTCCAATTTGAAGAACCCTTGTGATTACATTGGGTCACTCAGATAATCTAAAATGTTCTCCCTGGGACTTCCCTGGTGGTCCAGTGGTAAAGAATCTGCCTCCCAATGCAGGGGACTCAGGTTGGATCTCTGGTCGGGGAACTAAGATCCCACATGCCGTGGGGCAACTAAGCCCATGCGCCACAACTACTGAGCTCACGCGCCTAAACCAGAGAGCCCTAGCGCTGCAAACTACAGAGCCCACACGCTCCGGAACCCTTGCGCCACAACTGGAGAAGAGAAAACCCGCACGCCACAACTAGAGAGAAGCCCATGGGCAGCAACGAAGTCCCGACGGAGCCAAAACTAATAAATAAAATAAATATCTAAGAAAATGTTCTCCCTATTTTAAGGTCACCTGATAGGTAACCTTAATTCCATCTGCTACCTTAATTCCACTTTGCCACATCCACAAGTTCCAGGGATTATAATATGAACATCTTTGGGAGGTTATCTGCCTACCACATCCAGATATCCTATTTCTACGTATTTATTATCAAGAAAATAACTATGGGGAATTCCCTGGCAGGCCAGTGGTTAGGACTTGGTGCTTTCACTGCCGGTGCCCGGGTTCGATCCCCGGTTGGGGAACTAAGATCCCACAAGCTGTGTGGCATGGCTGAAAAAAAAAAAAGAAAGAAAGAAAGAAAAGAAAATGACTATGGATATATATTAATAGGGAATAATGTATCACTAGGCTTTCATTAAAAATAGTGGTGGACAAGGCTAATGACACAGTGTGCAAGTTATTAAAAAGTTAGTACAACATAGTTTGACTTTTATAACATATATAACTATCTCTCTCTATCTAGAATATAGATAAAAGCTAGAGAGATATACTCTAAATTTTTTTTAGCTCACTCTTTTTTCTTGTCTTATTGCTTCTTCTAGGTCTTCAATTCAATATTGAATAAATAGGATTATCATCAATCTCTTTCATTAAACCAACATATATGTATATAATACCTACTGTGTCTCAGAAATCTCTGGGAGTGGGATATATGTGTTTTTATTTTATTAATTTTATTTATGTTTCCTAAAATCTCCTAAGTATATTACTTCTGTAATAAGGGAAGTTAACTTTTTTTTTTTTCTTTTAAGCATGCAAGTTTTTGAGACTGGGGCAAATGTGCAGTTGTACTCGTGGTCAGGCCCAGGATCCAACCTCCAACAGAGGCACCAATTAAGGATCAGCTACTTCCTCATGGACTCCTCTTTGGAGAGCAGGGGCCCTCTCGGTTCCCTTCCCCTCCTCCCCAGCCCCACTGCCTAGAGCAGGGCCCGGCTCCATAACCACGCGTTGAACAGAGAAGTTCCAAGGGATCCTATGCTCCCTTCATTCCTTGCTCTGGGCTAGCGTCGTAGGATTTATCTAAATCACCATGGAAGTTATTTATCGTTTAGCTGTATCCCTTTCAGGTAATGAGTTCCATCCTTCCCAGGTTAACTGGAGTTTCCTTGGGTGCGTTTCCAGGCTGCGTCAGTCCTGGAGCCCTTGCCCAAGGGCTGAGCTTTGGAACAGCAGTCTACGCCTCTTGCCCCACTCTGCCATCCCCGTACCACCCCGGCCACCAGCCCCAGGACTGGCAAGGGTAGTAACAACCTGACAACAACAGCATTGATAATGCCAAGTTCACAAGGATCCTTTTGAATTGGCCCTTTTATTATACAGATGACGGATCAGACTCAGAGAGGACCAGCACGTGACCTCCTCAGGGCCACACAGCTAGCAAATGGCAGTGAACAGATTCAAATTCATGTGTCCCCCGCCCACTCCCCCCAGCTCTAGAGTCTGAGTTTGCCATCACTGCCCTCCACTGCTTCTTGGAATAAATGTTTTAAAAATGGTAACTGTGAACACCAATTGAGTGCTCGCCAGGTATCAGGTGCCCCCCATATATCAACCTACGCAATCCTCCTTAGAGCCCATTTTACAGTTGAGGCAACTGAGAGGCAAGTGGATTGCTAAGGTCCACAGCTGGGAAGTGCAGGGTCTGCATCTGAACCCAGATGATGTCCAGGCCCTTCCCAGCTCTGCAAGCTGATGCTAACAGTGTTCTGTGTTCTAGGCCACAGGCCCAGGATTTCACCTGTGATGGAATCCCCATAGTGCCCAGGCGGTAGGTACTTCATTAGACCCCTTCTACAAGGAAGGAGCTGGGGCTCAGAAAGGGACGGTGACAGGTTTGAGGTCACACAGCAGTGTATGGCAGACTGGACCTGGCACATGGTCCTTGACACCAATGCTGTTCTGAACGCTGGGCTGTGTTTTTCCTGGGATAAGTACCCCCACCCTTGGCTGGCTGGGTGCTCCAGCAGGGGGGAGGCCCTTCTAGACAGTTCCTAGAGCCCAGTCACTGCCCCACCCTGCTCAGTCCCTTAGAAAGTCATTCAGCCACTTATATTGTGGGCAGTGCTGCCCATCTTTCTCACTGGACACTCGTTGGGGCAACATTCCAAAGAAGAAGGATCTCATCATCTTATCACCTCCAAATCCTCAACCTACCACGCATGTGCCTCTCTGGCTAATGCCACCTTGGGGGACACTCAGCCTCATCTTGGGGGTGATTCCTTTCTGGGAAGAACTCTCACTCATGCAGAACCTGGGCTGCTGGTCTGCAAGTTTTCAGGGGGTGCGTGCAGGGTGGGTTTGCTGTGCGTGAGTGGGGAACGGAGATTCTGAAGGCCTTCTCCCTGTGGGCTTATCTTTGTTGCTATAACATTACGGCTCTACAATGGTGGCAGGGACTTCAGAGGGCCAGGCCTCCAAGCAGCCTTCCTGGGGAAAGAACTGTAGCATCTGGAGGGCTTACAGTCTCAGCTTCACCACCGGGGGCATCTTTTCTGTGCTTTCCTTGCAAAACAAAAACAAGAGCAGAGACTCAGGCTGTCCTCTCTCTTTCCCTGTCACCCATCTGTCAGTCTGGCTGTCAGTCTATCTACCCTCTGGGTGTAAACTAGGAATTCTGGGGGGAAACTCTTTCCTCCCGGTTTGGTTTTCCTTGGGGAGGGCCTGGGGCATTCTGGAGCTGGGCTCCGAGGTGTATGTGTTGGTGGGGGGAATGCATACACCCCAGAAGTTTGAGGATGTGCTGCTTTCTGGGGGAAAGTACCTGGGGCCAGGCGGAATGAACAAGGCGGACCCAGGACTCTCCTCCGTTAAATCAGGGACGGCGTTGGGGTGCATGGGGGGTGAGAATGGAGTTGGGAGTTGCAGACCTTCCCTGGCAACTGTCTCAGAGTCGCTCCCCCCTCCTCTGCGGAGGAATTTGTAAATGGAAGCGGGACTGCTAATCCCTCCGCTATCACCTCCCCAGCCACTTGTTGGGGGATTAAAAAAAAAAAAAAAAAAGACACACACACCCAAACACTGAACTTTCCCATTCCTCAAAATGTGGGTGGGGAGGGTGAAAGGAGGACACCCCTTGTTCTCCCCCTCCCCGCCGCCAGCCTCCAGCCTGGCTCAGGCGGGACCCCCTCCCTCCCCGCAGCCGGAGCGATGGGGGCGGGCGAGGCGAGGAGGAGGGAGGCAGGGGGCGAGGTCTGCTTCAAGAAGGGGCGTGTGGCCGGAGGAGCTCCCGTTTGAGCAACTTGGGAGCGAGCGAGGCGGCAGAGAAGGGGAGGGAAGAAAGTTGGTTTCCCCCGACGTCAGCGCCGGGCGGGCCGCGGCGGCCGCGGAGCCAGGAGGCGGCCGGGAGCGGGGCCGAGCGCGGGGCGGCCGGGGCGCGCTCGCTCCGACCCGCGCCTGCCACCCCCGCCTCGGACCCGCGCCCGCCACCGCCGCCGGCGACCCCGGGGCGG